GGCAGCTGTGCCAGCCCCTCCTCCCCCACCACCACTGCCCGGCATGCCTCCACCGCCTCCCCCACTCCCCGGCCTGGGAGGCATGCCTCCGCTTCCTCCCCTACTGCCCGGCCTGGGAGGCATACCACCCCCTCCACCGCCAGGAGGCAACGTGGAGGAAGTAGTGGTTGCCCACGTTGACTATGCTTTGGGCTACGCCAGGCCTTTCCCCAAGAAGGTGAAGACTCCGACCCTGAGAATGAAGAAACTCAACTGGCAGAAGCTGCCCTCCAATGTGGTGCGAGGTAGGTGTGTCTAATGCTGCACTCAGTCATTGTTTTTGTAGCTGCTGTAGAGAGACGCACACACACATAGCTGTCTCCAGTGTGTCCTACGCCATCTGTTTCTGTGACAGATTTATGTTACCAATCTGCCTGGGGCTTCAGGTGATCAGGCTGAGGCCGCAGGATCTTTAGGGGAGGAGATGAAGGAGCACACCAAGTGACTAGTTTTAAAGCTTTATTAATCAAATAACAGCAGTGAGTGCTGGGTACGCCCCACGTCACTCGGAGGAAGGAAGAAAGCATTAGTGCCCAAGCCCTAACCCACTTTCATACTCACACATGCACAACCATGGCTGGTCAAGCCTGGGTGTAACGTAAGAAGAAGAGGGGGAAGGGTAGACGAGAGTTCTGTCCTGTGCACAGGTCGTCTAGGGTCCACTGTTGATCTCCGACTTGCTTCAGCTCTCGGGAGGGTTTTAAGTCCTGGGTTCTTCTGGGGGCATTTTTGTCCAGGGATCCTCATCTCCCGTGCTCTCTGTACCCGTCCGAACCGGCCTTCTGCGGCTGCCTTAGGTTCCCCAAAACACACCGGCTTCAGGGTCGCGAGACTGTTGTTCTTCCACCCACTCGCCTTCGCAATCTTTCTCATTTTGCAACCCCCTTCAGGTCTGTCTGGTTCAGCTCTCCTTTCCCACAGGCTTTTGGCTGTTTGGCAGCAGGGAGCTTGTTTGGGTGCATTGGCCTTGAGCGGCAGTTTCATTCCTTATCTTGGAGCCTAGCTGAATCGTCGAGTTAACCCGTTCCTTCCCCCTTCGGCCTCTCGCAACCTGCAAAGGAATCTTTCATTCCACACTCACACCTTCAACCCTTCCCAGAATCCTTTCCCATGCATATATAAGCGTTAGCAATATACAACGCTGGTGCTTACCCGGGGACCCCATGGGGGGAGGCAAGTTTTATTGTGACATTTCCACTGGATTTTGTTGGGTTGAGGGTTGGGCAAATAGTGTTTTCCTTATATCTCCCTTCGCCTTCCCTCCCCCAAACAGCCTGAGGTGCCCTAGCACTGAGTCTTCCCGTTGGCTTCATTGGGTTTTGGCTCCAGTCCAGGGGTGCTGAGAGCCATTGAACCCAACTGTAAACCCTGTATATGATGGAAGCCATTTCAAGCCAGTTCCAGCACCTACGGTCCAGGCTTCAGAACTAGTTACCCCACCGTGTCTATTGCTGCACATCTAGTAATTCATTGCGACCATAGCCAGAAAATGAGACTAGAGAAGCAAAATGGCCAGACTGTGGCTGGTGTCTGTGCATGCGTGCGAGGAGATGGGCTGGGTGCTAGCCACAGAGCCATGCCTTCCTCCCCTCCCCGCCCACAATCATGCTAACCCAGCCAGCTGCACAGGAGAACGCTATCTGTGTCCTTTAAGGAACACAGCTGCGGCTGTGCTGCCCCTCCATGCCTGGTAGCTCCTGAAGGCATCTTCCCCTCATCACAGTGCTTTGGTGTAAAGTCACAATTTAGCTCCTAAACAAATGAAGCTTCCCCTTCCGGCATAGAGCAGAATTCTCTCTAGTATAACTAACGCTGTGGATAGCTTCACATACTGGGGGGGCCAGGAGTTATTTAGAGGGTTCCTAATGAGTCTGGCGGTGTTACTGACCTTCAGGAGCCCTTATGTATTCTAGGCAGAGATGATAACCTAACCGGAGCTCAGTGTCCCATGCGCACACCTGTGACTTTGCAATATGTAGCCGATCAGCTAGAGCAAACAGAAGTTAGTAAATCCCATTTAGCTCGGCTGCTGCCTCCAGCTCAGCTAAATCTCTGGCGGCTGTAGAGTTCCTGGTTTAATTCACCTTCAAACCTTGAGGATGCTGTCTGTGGGAGCTGCCACTCTTAAATAATTAGCATAGTCCAGGGCTATTCTGCCTCTTTCCTTATTTATTGCATTCATCTTTCTCAGTGTTTCCCTTTTAGTAAGTAGGGTTGCCAATTTTGGTTGGACATATTCCTGGGGGTTTCATCACATGACCTAATCTTTAATTCCTGGAGATTCCAGGACAATCCTGGAGGGTCGGCAACACTGGTAGTAAGGAGCATTACCTTGATGTGCTGAGTTTTCAGATGCCTCTGTAGCGTTCTTAGTGCCTCGTCTCTTTCAGAAAGTCGCTCCATGTGGGCGTCAGTGAGCAGTGGCAGCGATGAAGCTATAGAGCCTGATTACATGAGCATTGAGCAGCTTTTTTGTTTTCCGCAAACGAAGCCCAAAGAGAAAGCAGCTACCCCAGTGAAGGTGGAACCAAAGGAGGTAATGGGCTATTTCTCATCATTTGACGATTACGGTAAAAGCCCACTGGACATGGCTCATCTAACATCAATTATTATTTCTTAAACAGATCACATTCTTAGACTCCAAGAAGAGTCTCAATCTGAACATATTTTTGAAGCAATTTAGATGGTAAGCTATGAATTGGTTTAACGGTTGTTGAATAAAGCAACAGTTTGGCAAGTGAAATTAGCATCGCCTTTGTAGCAGACAGTTCTGTGAGGGGCTGAAAAATCCATATGACTCCCAAGACCACGGTTAATCCCTTAGCCACTTGGCCATCCTTCCTCCTAGGACATCCAGGGCCTGGTCATACAAATAATTACAAACGAGTAATTTTATTCACAGCAGCAGAGTTCAGGGGGACTATTCACTGTTTGAATTATTTGCAGGATCACACCCTAAATGTTTGTAGTGAGAGACAATACAATAAAGATTGTATTTGAGATTTAAAATGAAAGGACAAATAGAAAGGACAGGGCAGTATATTTCCCACAGTTTGAACACATCCTGGATGCTAAGACATAGAGCGAGTGACTGACCATCCAAGGAGTGACTATAAAATGACATGCCTAAATACAAACAAGGAGGACAGCTAGTTCAATCTCTTGTATTTATAATTTTTCTAGGCTACAACATTACATACCTCTATTCATGTCCACAGTTACTGATTTTAAAGCATCTCGCTTATATTCCACGGTGTTAAAAATAATGGAAGGTAAACACAAGGGGAGGGAAATAGTAATTTTATTTGAGACAGTGGCCACTTACTCCTACGTTATCAGTCCCTCTTCTCTTCAGTTTATTATAGCTATCTACTGAAGATACATTTTTAAATTTTTTAAATTTTTTAAGGTATTTATCTTCACAACACCCCAGCAGGGAAGGGCAGTGCTATTTATACCCCATTTTACAGAGGGAAACTGAGGCACAGAGGGACAAAGGGCCAGATTTTTAAGTGCCTAAAGATATAGACAGGTACCTGGTGTGTAACCTTTGGTTTTTGTGTTCCCAATTAGTAGTGTAAAGATAATAAATAAAACCAAACTGAATTCTGTAAAGTTTGAGCCTTCAGGGCAGTTGCAGATAGTTTAAATCAGTGAAGGCCTGTGAATGACACTAGTGATAACATTTAAAACTTGTTAAAATAAACTGGTTGGTTAAAGCAAACAGGTCTTGCAGTCTAACCACGCACTGCACTAATACTCACAGGCTAAGGGGGAATGATGCCTCCCGGGGTGATCATTACCGGATGGGAAGAATCACCATATCCCTTTCTCTAATGGTACCTCAAGAGTGGATGGGTGCGCCCCATCTAAAACCAGCATGCTGCCCTTTTTATAATTCTGAGTGCCAGGCTACTGCGCTAATCCATGGAACAGCCTTCCTGTCAGTAAGGCCTAATTATGCACCACTCACTAGTGTTTGTAAGGCATAATCAATAGCATCTGGTCATAGGGAGCTGGCCAGTGTTGTTGTTCTATTGTTGCTTCTAATTACGTGCCTGTTCTCTGCAGCTCAAATGAAGAGGTAGTTGACATGATTCAAAAAGGGGACAGGACCAAGTTCGATGTGGAGGTTCTGAAGCAGTTACTGAAGCTGCTACCCGAAAAGCATGAGGTTAGATGGAAAGACTCTTTTAATTCAATTCACAAAGGCTGTAGATATGATGCCGTTCTGGGGTCTTGACTCTTGTGTTTTCTTGTTAGATAGAAAACCTGAAAGCCTTCAAGGAAGAAAAAGCCAAGTTAGCAAGTACAGATCAATTTTATCTTCTCCTCCTCAGGGTTCCCAGGTAAGGCAGATCATTAGCGACTTCAGCCTGATCTTTTGCTTCCATATTGTTTTCCATGACAGCAAGCTTCTCTTTTTGATCCGATTGGATGTAGCACTCTGTGTCATTTAAAAGGATACTGAAAGTACTCTAAATTAAAGCATTACTCTGCAAAACATTCTGAATACCGAGACGTTTGCTGCAATTAGGGAAAGTCAACTTTAAAGAGTCTCTCTCTTTTATTGTGATAACACTATAGAAAGGCCTTCTTAAAAAAATCTTTTAATGGATTTGTTGCTTTAAAACTAAGCCTTTCTTAAAATGCTTTTAGTATACTCCATAGTTGTTTTGTTTGTTTGTGGTCATATTATAATATTGCACTTATATATTTATTTGCATTTCACATGCCTCTTCCATCAGAGACTCTCAAAGTGCTTTACAAATATTAATCATCCTCACTTGTGTAAGGTAGGGGAGTAGTCTCTGTGTCAGAGAGGAGCAGACACACTGGTACAGTGAAATGTAAGTTATACATCGCTGGGCCAACCTGGCCATTTACTGAAGCTTAGTAAGACTGCTGTACTGAAGGAAGGGATAGCACCTATGCCCTTCTGCTGGGTTTGCTGCCAGAGGAAAGAGTGTGATGGTTTGGGGAATGGAAAGGGGGAGACTTTGCTGGCAGGGTCAGGAAGCTGTTAAGCGTAACTGTATATTTGTGCCGGCTCCCTCTCTTAGCTACCAGCTCCGGATTGAGTGTATGCTGTCATGTGAAGAGACCACCGTCATGCTAGATATGCTACAGCCAAAAGCAGAAGCAATCAGGAAAGCCTGTGAAGGTAAATGGGACAGCGTCACCCCTCAGCGTGTTGTGTTCAGAGCCATGTGAGGCCTCATTTCAGCTTGTAGTAGTATATCTATCTTACCTGAGAATTTAAGGAAGAAGTGGCCTTTTGTTGTCTCCATCTCATATATATGCAAACCTGCAACTAGCCAGAAGATTGCACCCCCATCCTATCAGATACAGACCTGGCCAGGATGGCCCATGCATTCATGGCCACCAAGTTTAAATTATTGCAACTCATAACTAGGAATAGAGCCACAAGCCTTGAAAAACCTCCAACAGATAAAAAGCTCAGCAGCCTGTCGGCTTAACACCATTGGCTACTATAAACGCATCACCCTAGTTCTCCACTCTCTGCCCTGGCTCACCAATGAGCGCAGAGTGTAGTTCAAGCTGTCTTTCCTGATGTTCAAAGCCCTGCCATGGAGCTGGCTCTGGGTACCAGAGAGAGGACACTTCACCCTCTATGACCTCCCAGGATACAGTCCACTTGAACAACGACTTTGTCAACCAGTCAGAGGCTTGTTAGTGCAAGTGACACAGCTTTCAGAGAAGCAGGTTTTAGATGACAGAACTCGCGCTTGCAGGAGTTAAGAATGACCACGTTTAGAAGTTAATGCTAAACAAATTCATTCAACTGAGCTTTCCCTCAGTAAATTCCTCACACACAATCCCACCTCACCCCACAAAAAAATCAAACTCCCAAATCCCCCTATAAACTAATCAAAACTCTTTGTCCTACAGACTGAGCAGGACGAGAAAGTTTGTTATGTTTGCTTTTCTAAATAGGAAGTACTCAGATACAGCAGCGATGTAGGCCATCATGGGTATACCTTGGTAGATCATGTGGTAGCCCTCACCATAAGTTATGCTTCCTTTTTTGGACTACGTAAAGTTGTTTAGGGAGCGCAGGGCTGATATGAAAAGAACACAATGGGAAATGCTTCTGGAAAAAGACAGCAGGGGAGGAAAGAAGGAATAAAATGTTTTGAGCAATTCTTATTCAAGATCTCCCCCTAGTGTAAATAAAGTCACTAGCTCCACTTCTAGGGCACTTTCCAGGGTTTGAATTTGTACTTGCAGATTTTATTTTTTTGGCCACAGGAAAAAATACAGAATATAAATCATTTTCTGTTGGCCTGATCCAAAGCCCACTGAAGTCAGGAGAAAAACTCCCATTGCCTTCAATGGACATGGAATCATGTTCCATCTCCGCTGTCAAGAGCAACGTACCCAGAAAGTCTGACTCCATCATGCTGTGCCACAGTTTTGACCAGCTGGAATTATAAGGGGGTGCTGGGGTTTGTGGGAAATGTTCAGAAAGGCTTCGACCATGCAGCCTGCCTCTGGATGTCCCTGATGCTGCCTCCAGCGCCCCTCCTGTTGGTGCTACAGCACTTACTGTTGGGAGATAAGCGAGGACACACATTATATCCTTCACATCCTGATAAGCAGCTCCCTGGTCACCCCGCCACTGGAGAACAATAGGACTAGCAGGTAGAGATACACTGGCTAGGTCAGGATATAATTGCAAGGACTGGTCAAAACTGGTTTCACTGTGCACTGGGGCAGGCTCTAAGGCCAAGATCCTCAAAGCTATTTAGGCTCCTAACATAGGGTTACCATTCGTCCGGATTCCCCCGGACATGTCCGGCTTTTTAAGCTAAAAATAGCGTCTGGGGGGAATTTGTAAACGTCCGGACTTCCCCTGATGCAGAGCGCGCAGGGTTAACAGTGCTGCCGCCGACAGTGTCACTTACATGGGGCTCCGACACTCAGCCAGAGAGAGCACGTTCTCCTCCTCCCCCTCCTCTCCCCTGCAACTGAGAGCACTCCCTCCCCCCCTCCCTCCCTGCATGGCAGATCGGCTCCGGGAGTCTGGAGCTCCTCCCCCGCTCCCCAGCGTGCCGGACGAGCGGCTCAGGCAGTTCCTGAGCAAGCTCAGGGAGACATTAGGTGAAGAAAGGCCAACAACAAGGGGGGCAGGGGGTCGGAGAAGGGGCAGGGAGGTTTTGGAGGGGGCAGTCAAGAGACGGGGGGGGTCGGGAGTTTGGGGGGGGG